AGAAGGAGAGCAATGTTGCATGTTATAGCGTGTAAGGACACGCTCAATGTAAGCCTTTTGAGATAATCCCAAAATACCATTGACTCTATCTCGGTGTATTTCGATGCCAATAACATAAGAAGCCTCTCCGAGATCTTTCATGTCAAAATTACGCGAGAGTAAGCGCTTGGATTCATGCAACATGTCTAAACTATTACTTGCCAATAGAATGTCATCTACATAAAGGACAAGTATAGTAAAGTTGCTCCCACTCATCTTGAGGTAGGTGCATTGATCCACTTGATTCTTTATGAAACCTTCTGACTTCAAGACTTGATGCAACTTTAGGTACCATTGACGTGATGCCTGCTTCAACCCGTATATGGACTTCTTCAGCTTACAGACTAAGTGCTCTTGACCTTCATACTTGAATCCTTCGGGTTGTTTCATGAATACTTCTTCATCTAAATCGCCATTAAGGAAAGCGGTTTTGACATCCATCTGATGTAGCTCTAAGTCAAAATGAGCTACAAGGGCCATAACGATCCTTAAGGAATCCTTTCGAGAGACAGAAGAAAAGGTCTCTTGATAGTCAATTCCCTCTTTCTGGGTGTAGCCCTATTCAACCAATCTCGCTTTGTAGCGTTCAATGTTTCCATTCGGATCCAGTTTTGTTTTGAAGACCCATTTACATCCTACGGGTTTTACACCGTTGGGTAGTTCAACCAAATCCCAAACATCATTTTTCTTCATGGAGTCAAGCTCTTCAATCATGGCTTTATTCCATTCAGAAGATTGATCACTGTTAATGGCTTCATTATAAGAGGTAGGATCATTAAACTTTCCAGCATCCATTTCTGCTTCAGTCAGGTAGGTAACATAATCATCAAAGTTAGTAGGCCTTTTAGACCTAGATGACCCCCTGAGCAAATTTTCGGGTTGAGCATTGGCTTGATGGTGATCATTTGAGGTGTCTTCATTTCCAGGTACATTTGGAGTAGGAGGAGGTGCAGTGTCCTGCGGATTGGCATTGAATACAAGAGGAGTAATTAGAGGTAAATTAATCGCCAAGTTTCTTCCCCCCGCGTCTTGTACTTCTAGCAATTCATTATAAGGGTTTTCACTGCTCCCACTGACCTTAAAATCTTCAAGGAAATGAGCATCTTTGGTTTCTACAATGCGAGTGACATGGGAAGGACAATAAAATCTGTAACCCTTTGAGTGAGAAGGATAACCAATGAAGTAGCAAGTTATAGTTTTCATGTCGAGTTTCTTCAAGAAGAGATTATAAAGTTTAGCTTCGGCAAGACAACCCCATACTTTCATATATCTTAGCTTCAAAAGATGCAGTGTAGGTTATGTTCATTTAACATGGTCCTTAACATTTCTTGCAACGTCCTATTTTTCCTTTCAACGACTCCATTTTGTTGAGGTGTTCTAGGAGCCGAAAAGTTGTGAGAAATACCATGTTCATCACAATATGTCTCAAAATTGGTATTACGGTATTCTCCTCCTCTATCACTTTTAATGGAGGTTATTTCATAACCTTTCTCATTTTGGATTCTCTTGCACAACTTAACAAACGCATTAAACGCATCATCTTTATTGGCAAGCAATATAGTCCAAGTATAACGAGAAAAATCATCTATAATTACAAAAGTAAAACTAGCTCCACCTAGGCTTTGAACGTCTACGGGCCCAAATAAATCCATATGTAATAGTTCAAGTGGCCTTGACGTTAAAACCATTTTTATAGGCTTAAATGATACTTTATGTTGTTTTCCAAGGGAGCAAGCATCACAAAAACGAGAAGTAGGTATGCTCATTTTTGGTAGCCCAACAAC